AGAGGGAAATTTCAAAAATGATAAAGTTAATATTCCTAAAGCTATATTTTATGATAGTATGTAATGCAAACCAAAAATGGAAACATTTCTGGTCTTATTTTCAAGCCATACACCACTACATATATCATTCTCTGACACCGAGAAAGACTCAGTCAAAGAAGATATCAGTCTCCAAAGAGAATTTGTTCTAAAAGCAACCCAAAAACTAAAAAAATTTTTAGTTGATGTTGTGAGAGGTACCTCGGGAAAGCTATGATCAGGAGAAATAGTCTTCCCCAAGAAATAACACAATTGGTTATCCAATACCAAGCGATCAACTCTGAAAATACTAAAATGTAACATACACACTGAAAAGATTGTGCTTGAATTATTTATATATACATATATATATATATTCGCAATAATAATTAATTTTTTAAAAAGGCCATGAGCCTGAAAAAGAACAAGGAAGGACTGTTAGATCACAATCTCAAAAAATAAAATAAATAATGATAAACAAGAGAAAAAGGAATGAGTCATTTTATTTCAAATGCAAAATGTTCAAATTAAGTACTTAATATTATCTTTACTTGTAACAGAACAAAACTCTTTGTTGAAATATCTTTCAGAAATTTTATACAAAATTGATTCTAATCAAATGGATATTTATGCTACTCTGATTTTTGATACATTTATATCAAGAAGCCCTTCCATGGAGATACATTCTACATTTTTTCTCAGGACTTTGTGGCTTGTTACTTTATGATTGGTAGCTTGTTTAGTGAGAAGACATTCTTTCTTCTTTTATTTAAAATGGATTTTTTTTCATATGACACATTCTAACTACAGTTTTCCTTCCCTCTACAACTCCTAGTTCCTCACCACCTGTGTTCTCATCCAGACCCACCATCTTTATGCCTCTTATTATGAAAAAAAAAACCCAGCAGTGTAAGGGATAATAATAATAAAAGAAAATATAATAAGGTAAAAGAAAAACAAATCTGAATAGGACAAAACAAAATAAGCAAAAGGAAAAGAGCCCAAAAGAAGACACAAGAGTCACAGATCCATTCATATACACACCCAGGGAACATTGTGGAAGAGGAGGAAGAAAGACTGTAAAAGCCAGAGGGGGTGGAGGACACCAAGGAAGAAGACCTTCTAAACACAGCTGGATTCATGCAAATATAAACTATCAAATACCAGTGCAGCGTGCACAGGGCCCTTACCTGATGGTGTCATAGAGGTGAAAGGAGAAGTGGGCACATGCTCCCTTCCTAACTCAGAAGGAATCTCCAATTGATAACCACTTACAACTAGAAGTTATTATAATTTTGTATTACGTAGTCCCACTGAAGAAACAAACTACTCCTAAGAGTAGACATCAGGAGAAAGGACTGAAGGAGCTGAAGGGGTTTGCAACTCCCTAGGAAGAACAACAGTATCAACCAACCAGACCCCCCAGAGATCCCAGGGTCTAAACCATCAACCAAGGAGTACACATGGAGGGATCCATGGCTCCCACTGCATATGTAGAGGATGTGCATATGTAGAGGATGGCCTTGTTGGGAATCAGTGGAAGGAGAGGCCCTTGGTACTGTGAAGGCTCAACGCCCCAGTGTAGGGGAATTTGAGGGTGAGGAGGTGGGAGTAGGTGGGTAGGTGGGGAACACCTTCATAGAAACAGGGGAGGGGTGTGGGATAGGCAGTTTTTGGGTGAGGGGGCAACCGGGAAAGGGAATAGCGTTTGAAATGTAAAGAAAGAAAAATTTTTATATATATATATATATATATATATATATATATATATATATGAGAGAGAGAGAGAGAGAGAGAGAGCCTAATGTGACTGCAAAGAAAAGAAAAGAAAAGAAAGGAAAAGAAAAGAAAAAAAAGAAAAGAAAAAGAAAAAACAAAGAAAAGAGTAGGCCTCAGGCCCAGCAGTGGATGGTCAACAGAAAACAAACTCAATAACATATTTGGAAGTTTCTTATCTAAAATCTTCGTATTTCAAATTTTTCTTTTAAAATTAAGTTTTACTTTTATTTTAATGTTTATTCACGATTTTATCCTACGAGTTCTGCAAATATATATATATGCTTCCAATTTTGTGTTTTTATGGAATTCCTGAGTGTGTGAAAATCAGTTGGAAAACCTCAAGGTCCATAAAAACAACGGGCTGGATGCTTCTAAAGGCTAGGATTGTATTTCAAAGGTAAATACCCCAAATATGAGCACTTCAAGCACAGAATTCACTATATGTTGCCATATTCTGCTTTTTGGTCTGGGTAATACAAGAAACGTTTCATTGGAAGAGTTCCTAAGAGAGGCAGTAAACAGAGTGAGATGGAATGTGTGCAATAAAATCTAAGAAGAGGTGAATAACAGAAGGAAAAAAGGATCAGATTGGAGCAGTATGACCCACAAGAGGTCACTGTGGGGAGGAAACAATGGAAAATATGAAGCCCATGTGTGTAAAAATGCATGATGAAAACTCTTACTCTGGATGACATTTTAAAGCTTAATTATAAATGACTTTAAAGCAAAACCTCTATGAATCTGTGTATTACAATCACTGATACACTAAATTTCTTATTTAAAATGTTACATTTTAGCACAGTTGTCAAAAATGAAATTCAGTGGAGAATTTTCTTTCCAGCAATCTATTCTCTGGGCAGTCAATAAACCCTCCTCATATTAGTTAATATAACATCAATCTTGTACTTAAAGTTCTCCTTCTTGGATGCTTACCTTTTAAAAATAACCTTAGCCATTAGAAGGACCCAGGCCATTGTTTTTATGGATTATTAGATGTGAAATTTCCTGTCTCTAATTATTTCAGTCTTCATAAGACTCTCAGTGAATCTTAAAACTATTGACTTCAGACTGCATTCAGTTACTATAAAGTGCTTTCCACGTTTATATCTATATAATTACTTCATCTGACCCTCACTTTGAGGTTTTGCAACAGCTGTAAATCTCTGCATTATTGCATTCAGTATACATTTTTATTGTGTCTTGGTATTCTAAGGTTTATGTTTAAATTTATGTGTATGTTATGAGCCTGAATACATTTGTGCCATGAGAATTCAGGTGCCCACAGAAGCGTAAGGGCCTCAGGACACTCTGAACAGTTGTAAGTCATCTGCTGTGCGTACTAGGAATATAATATCCTTACTCTAAGCAAGCAGCTTTATGCTTAAATGATGGATCATCTGTCCAAAGTCTGGAATTTAGCAAAGTCCTGATATTACTAATATGGAAAGTTCTAACATACTTATATAAGCAAATAATTTTCAGAAGGTAGATAGCCCTACCTCTTTCTATTTTACTAACAACATACAAAAGAATTTAGTGCTCGCAGCAGGAAGCATACAATGGTCTAAATGTTCTATATATATTCATACAAAAATCTTTTGGTTTTTACTCTTCCACATACGTGCCAACTAGTGTAAATAAAATATACTAGCTACAGTAACCAAATACTGACTCCCAATTTCCCATTAAATAATATCCAGACAGAACCTAGGGTATACTTGGAGATAGCCTAAAACAATGATAATTATGTGGATTCTGGAGCCATAGGGTTCTTAGAAAATTATTTGTGTGCCGTTAATGCCATTCATTATCAAAAATTAATAAAATTATCAAAATATATTTTAAAGATATATAAATGTAATGTTAAACTGATTAAGTTTGAGAAAAGATCTAGGAATGGTATCAGAAAGGTACAGAGACTAGTTTCAGTAATTTTTACAATATAGGTAAGCCCCTATAAAATTTAGAAATGAACTACATAAACTAGAGGATAATTTGACTAAGATAGTTGTTTCTATATGATAAAAGTTATAATACTTTTTCTTGTCATGTATATGAATGTACTATTTGTCTTCTCTAGTGAATGCATATAAAACTATAGATAATAAAACTCAACTGTAGTGGCAGTAATGCTAAAATAGTGGATTTTGTCTGGCTAGGTTTGTAAGGAGCAAACAATATGAAAAGCTACATGTGAGATACTGATGGAGCAATCTCTTTATTATGGGTTATATGTTTATTATAACATCACAATGTAGGCCCTGAATAACACAATAATATTTATTTAAAAGCAAGAATATAAAGCAAAACCACATGGAAGAATAGGTGTAACTCTATGTAATGTTCCACACTGTAATGAAAATAACGTTATCTTTTTGGTAGTGATTTCCCAAAATGGTTCAAGATTGAAAACAAATTTAGTAGTTTTTTTAAAATAAAAATTACAGAATAAAATTTTGATTATTCAAAAAATTGCCTTCAATATCTAAGTAAAGTGTTGAAGTGCAATGCAGTTTTGACTAAACATGATATTTACACATAGCATTTCTTTAAAAAAATTTTCACCAAAATTAAGACAACATGAGAGATATCTACTATTTGAAAATATAAATATTCAATGTGTTAATTAGTAATGAAGATATAGAAATGTGTGCTCACTTCAGTTAAACTTGGTATGCAAGATGTAGAATTCAGTTGCAGCAGCATATGATCAGTAGAAATTACTGACTGCTGATATCATCAGCTAGGCACAGTTTCACTACTATATACATACTCAAAAGTAAAATAGAAGAGATTCTGAGGTAAGAATTGGGAATACTCATAAAACCATATATATGACATAGACATACAAGTCCACTATACTGATACATTAGTCAAAACTTGCTATCTCAAAAACCTTATTTTAATCACTAAAATGTGGGCATCAGTATTTTATATTTTCTCGTGATTGTGAGTGATTCAAATTTCCCATACTGACTTTTTTTTTTTAATCTCATGTCAATGCTACCTGAGAAAGATAAAATTCAATGTGGCTTTGTTTTATTATTACTTGTGATAGAAAAGAGTACCATAACCATTTTCATCTTCTAAACATTCCCTAGGCTCAACCCTTAAGTAATAAGGCTCACAACTACCTTGATCATAATTTCAACTGAAAATTTATTCTTAATTTTCAACGACTTTGTATAACAAAATATGCCTAAATGAGGAGAGCACAGCATCCCAGGTTAGAATTTATTTCTAATTTTCAATTTATAGTTAATAACATATCCAGTGAGTAAACAATTTTATGTTGTTAGAGTTTTGCACCAGAGCTTTTTAATAGAATTTTTCATCTCTGAATTTCTCAAGGTATATATCAATGGGTTCAACATAGGACTAACAACTGTATAAAACACAGCAATATATTTATCAACTGGAAAGTTGGAGACAGGTCTAGCATATATAAAACTACAGGGAGCAAAGAAGCATACAACCACCATGATATGGGAGCTGCATGTGAACAGAGCTTTGTGCCTTCCCTCCCGACTGTGAGTCTTAAGAGAGTTTAGAATGACTCCATAGGAGACTAAGAGAAAGGTGAAAATTCCCACACAGATTACTCCACCATTGGCAATGACAGTGATCCCAAGGAAGTAAGTGTCAGTGCATGCAAGTCCCAGTAATTGATTCATGTCACACATGAAATGGTCAATGACATTGGGACCACAAAAAGGAAGTTTATACACAGTCAGCACTTGAATCATTGAGTGTACAATGCCTCCAACTCCAGCTACCAGCAATAGGAGAATGCACACCCTCTGGTTCATAATGGTCAAATAGTGCAGTGGCTTGCAGATGGCCACATAGCGATCATAGGCCATGAATACCAGAAGGAAGACCTCAACACCACCAAATAAGTGCTCTACAAAGAGCTGGAACATGCAAGCTCTGAAGGAGATATTCTTTTTATTATATAACAAGTCTATAATCAAATTTGGTGAGACTGAATTGCAATAAAGAGCATCCAGGACTGACAGACAGGCAAGAAAGAAGTACATTGGGGAGTTTAAGGAAGGGCTAGCAATCACTGTCACTGCAATGAGCAAGTTGCCCAGCATTGTCACGATATAGGTGAGTGAAAACAAGACAAATAATGCTTTTTGCCCAGCAGGATCTTGGCTAAGGCCCACAAAAATGAATTCTGTGACATTGTAGTTTTGTCCCATTGACCTTTTTAGGAGGCTTATTTCAGAGATGAGAGCTCAAACAAGACTTGTCCCAATATGTATGTGGTCATGAATCTCTTTTAACATAAAAACCATTGCCTCTATTGCTTTTACAATGTTGAACATACAGTAGGTGTTTAGTGAGCAGTCTGTGTTCCTGTTGCTGATTCTATTCCTCCATGGAAAATTTGTTGTGCCTGAAAGTACAAGGGTTTATTATAAGTCTCAATGAATCTCTACAATACACTCCTGTACATACACTTACAATACAAAATGTGTTGCTTTGGCAAACATATTAGAAATGTTGAAAAGGCCACCACCTTTTTAGGAATATATTGTCTATCATGTCAGTAGCCTTCAATATAAGACTGGAGATTTAATTCAGTAGTTAAGAACATGATTTTCTCTTACATAGGACCATAGTTCAATTCTTGACACACACGTAATGGTTCGCAACCATCTGTAACTCCAGTTCCCATAAGTTCAATATCTCTTCTGACCTACAAGGCACCATATATGCATGTGGTCAATATACATACATACATGAAGACAAATATTCACATAAAATAAATATTTTTTAAATGAGTATATCAAGTAATACAGAGTCACTGTTTGAAGGTGTTGTTTTATGAAGAACATATTAAAAGCATCATCTGGATATCTGGGATCACCAGATCATTGATTCCACTGCATTATTAGACATCTGTATGTACTTCGCAAAATCTGCCACCTTTACAATCTTCACATTAAATTTAAAAGGATGACTGTAAACTTTGCTTTGTAACTACATTACTATATACCACACTGATGATGTTTAATGGAATTAGTTTTATCTATCTCAGATTGCCAGGTGAATCTGGAGTCATAATCCTGTCCACTTTACTATGCCTATACCAATTCCTAACACACTATGTTCACTTATAACAATATCATTTAACTAGTCTGCTACAACACCTTAATGTAACCAATAACAGCAGCTAAAGCTACTTTACTATTAGAAATATTAGAATTGCTTAGTTAATGAAAGAGCAGAATATAGAAACTAAAAGCAGTAGTAGGCAAAAGTAGAGCATTGCAATATGTATATGTCTTTATAGGATCAAACAGAAGGTCAGTGTTCAGATTCCCCAGAGTAACTCTATATCTGGTGAAAGGAGGGATATGTCTCGTCACTTTCTAAATATAAGTAAAAATATGTTTCCTTCTTCAGTAAAAATCAAAAGGATTCAAAGAGATGCAGTCAGAATCATTTCCAGTGAGCTACCAAAAGAGTGCAGCCTTATTTCTTTCTATTCTATCTACATGTTATGAGATATACACAGTCCTGCAAATATTTCCAAACTTATTAAAGTTTCTTGAAAACTGGGTACCAACTGCAAATGAGATTTGGTAAGTTAACACTAATTTCAATTATCTTCTTGAATGGTATCCAGAGAGGTTCTTGGACATTCTTGCTACAGAAGTGTCATCACTGGTGACTATTGTGAATTCTGGTGCCTGTGTCTTCTGATTCTGTCTCAGACCCTTCTTTTATTTTTTTTATTTTTTTTACTACAAAAGGAGAATTGGACCACATGATAAACCTCCCTATACCCCAACTTCATCATGTCTACCATTGGAATATTCATACATCCATACACACACACACACACACACACACATGTTCTCTAACACTTTGTTGTAAGTGTTGGTGGTAGTGTATGTGTTATATGTAATGGTTCTAAATTACTTCTCAATACCTAATAAGATCTATATAGATGATAACAGTTATCAATGCTTTGAGTGTCTCCCATGACCAAAGAAAATAAATCATCTCAATCAACCACATAATAAAGATGATTGCCAAGGACCAGGAAATACGATGTTATTTAATATATGTGTATTTATGTGTATGTGAGATATATAATATCTGGTGAAAGGAAAGATATGGCTCACCACTTTTTAAGTATAATTACAAAAATATACAAATGTATGTAGTGTGATACATATTAAAATCAATGAATACTACTGAGATATACAGCTAAATTAACAGCCATATAAGCCTTAGGATATATATATATATATATATATATATATATATATATTTATATTATTTATATATATTTATATATGAATACATATACACAATATTTTTTTATCCAGGAATGCATCTTGTCTATAAGAAAGAAAAGTGTATTCCTGTAGATGTGGGAGTAATATAGGACACAAGAAATAAATCTGGGCTTTATTTAGAAGCTGACCACAAAGGTCCTTCTGTATATATCATTCCCATTACTGTCAACATCTGATTCAGGAGATCTACACGTGCAGAATACACAGACTGAAAACAGCACACCTGTTGAATGACATGAGCAAAGATATTCTATATCTACTATTTCTGCTTTCACGTTTCACCTTCCTCAAAATAGTGCTTTAACTTACTTTAACTATCAGTGCTGTATTTCCCTAGTACAAATCTACTATTGCTCAGTTTAACATTCCTATAATATAGCAAGTAATAGTTATTGAACCATATAGTATACTGTAAAAGCTTTCAAGGATTTGATACAATGAAAATGTGGACTAGTTACACTATATATTCAATAGAAGTATAACACATTTCTAAAAATCTAATTCATAGTTTAAGCTCATAGTAATATGCTATATGCTAACATTTATATGAATCTAAGTGATGGTATATGTGGCAGTCTCTGGTCATGGATTTCCCTCATGTAAACCTTATCATTTTTATAGTCATCAATTTAAGATTCATACATGAATCCTCATACAAAAGCTACAGAATATATATAAATATATTTCTTCCTTTATACAAAAGTAGTTACCCACCTTGCCTACTCCATTAGCTCAAGAACTCACATGTTGACTTTCTCCATGGTGGAGAAAGTGATGACCTCTTTTCCTGATGATGACTGTGGTACATAAAGTTGTGAATATACTTTAGAACACTTATATGAGGACCTTTAAGTAAGACTTCAACACTTAATGTACAAAGCTAGTTGAACATTCTTACCTGCTCTGAAAATATTTTTGAAGAAAAATAAATATTCTATGATTTGTACAATTGTGAGTGAAATTAACCAAATTTGGGGAAATAAAATTTTTCAATTCCAACATTAAAGAGAGCAGTAAGCAAAAGATTCATATATAAATAAGCTAATACCAATTATGTGAATTTTTCTCTTTGTAGTATGGGGAGAAGAGACTCCACATGAAACATATACAATGAGTTCCATGTGACTCTCTCCTCTAGTTCTATGTAACGATGGACAGGTTAAGATTTCAAAATTATCCCATACACACAATTAGTGATACACTTCTCCTGAGTAGTGGAAAATGTCTTCAAAAATGCACTCACTGAAAATGGATCTATAGAATCTTTTTCTCACCTTTCTTAAATCATACCCCTATATTTCCACAGTTCTATGGCAAAGCAATCGAGATTACCAATGAATATATAAGAATATATAAGTGACTCTAAGGTAATTATAAGTAATTTGCTAAAATATTGGATCAAATTCAAATGAGGAAGTCTCTTCTGAAAAGGTATGTTTCCTTGGATAATCTCTTGGGAGTAAAGACTTGGCTGATACAACAACAAAAGTAGTTAACTGCCAAGTGATGTGGACTTTACTCTGAAAAGAACAATTCCAAAGTAAGACTAATAACAATCTGTTGTCATAAATTGTTATAAAGTACTTAGATAAGGGAAGACGTGTGACCTAGAGTAAAGACGGAGGCATCCCTACCCCATTTCCCAGCCAAACCTCAGCAGACCACTGCTTTACTCTATAGTGAAAGAGAATCTATCAAAGAAGCTCTAAGGCTCTGAGGAATTTTTTTTCTCTAAGAGAAGAATTTTATTTTATTTTTAAAATATAATTTATTTATTTTTTCAAATTGTAATTTATATTCATTCACACAGGGTTATAAACACAGAAAGACAGGTTGTGGGGAAGGGGATGACACTGGAGTGTGGGTGTTCAGGGGGAATACAGATATCTTTCAGAACAGGGTATCAGCTGGGTTAGGGTTCAGGGGACAGGTCACTATGGCTCTGCCTATGACTCACTTGTCCTTATCTACATTGGTATTATCTGTCAAGGCTACCTATTTACAAGGTCTATGACTACTCAGGCTTGTAAATTGTCACAAAAGCTGCCTGTTTACATTAGCTTATAGCCATCTTTTTCAATGTTTTTCCACAGAGACCCAAAACTTGGTGTTAGTATATGACAGGCCTATTGCTAATTTTAGGCCTATGGCTGATTTTAGGCCTTCAGTGTATAAGCAGGGATGCCCCTGACATCTCCTCCCTTCTCTAAGTATAGAAGGGATATGGCAAATCTAATCTTGCGAAGGCGGGGATAGAGGCCTGATCTCCAGTAATTAAAGGGGACCTTGTAGTGGCTCCAGTCCCCCTGTCGTTGTCCAATGAGTCATGATGGCCATACCCATCCCGATGTCTTTTTCCTGGAGAGGGGATACTTTTGACATCAACCCCTGTGCAGTCAGGCTTGTCCCTCAGGGAACCCAGAGAGATATTTTTAACTTTTATTCGTATTCCCTTGCAGTGCTTAGCCTCGCAGCCTAAGCAAGAATTCAGGTTGCCTGTCAGAGGATGTTGTGGGTGGTCCCTCTCAGCTTGGTCTAGGGGCAGAAGTCTTCTCTTTTAGGTTGGGTGGAGATGGGTTTTGGGAACACCCTGGATAAAGCAACAACCTCATCTTGAGTCTTGTGGTCCTCCGTATCTAACTTATGATACTGTATCTGAATAAGTTTTGCTACCAAATTATTTATCTATTGTTTCACAGAGTTAATCAGCCTATTTGAGGCCCAGGGACCAGAAGAAATAAGCAGAAAGATCCCAAATAATGGTCCCAAGATGAGAGGAGGCAGGGTTGACAACCCTGGAAAGGCTGAAAACCAATTCTTGTACAGCACTCATCTTTCTCTTTCTCTCTCTGACTTTTTTCAGGGTCTTCTCTCACCTTTTTCATGCTCTCTTTAACCATCCCTGTCTTGTCTATGTA